AGGACGCCCGAAACGTGTAATACCACCCGAATCTGCACCTGTTGCACAAGGTGCTGGTGACGCTAAATTTCCTGCTTGTCAAACTGGAGCCCGTCCATCTGATTCTCCGCCCGCTGCACAAAGTAGACAAATGTCAGTTCCTGACTTCTTGCCGAGACGTCTACGAAGTCAGAGGGGGAGGATGTAACAGACCTATTTAAGTGTAATTGAACTATTTTATTCACGCCATGAACTCATGAACTGTAACCGAACTATTTTATTTAAACGCCATCTCGTGGCGATATGAAAAAACGTCAGTCGACCTCCAGCCGCCATGATGATAGCTTACTATGTTATGTTATTCTCAATGTTTGATGTTCCATTTGGTATATGTTTCATTTTTATGGATATTTCTTTTGTTTGTAACCGTTCCTGTGTGCTCTGTTAATAAATCCGTTTAAAGCTAGCCGGTATTAGTGTCTATTGAGGAACGGCTACATCACATTGGCTACACACTTAGGATATACATATAACTTGTATAAAAAGCTTTGCTGTAACGTATGTTTAAGTAACAAAATTTATCTTTTTCTTAAATGAGATTTCAATATTTTCCCATATTTCGACATTTCGACTCTGCATCTGACGTTATGTCTAAATATCACTTTTTGTAAAAAGTGTGCTATCAATCTCGCAGCTATTCCCATTCAATGTTTGACGTGAAAAAGTTTTTTATTTTTGTTATTTTGAGTAGTTTCAATTACCATCATCATATTTCTTTAAACAACGAACATGTAATTCAGAAGTCAAACAACAAAAATCAGCGTTAATTAACGCTGATTTTTGTTGTTTGACTTTTGAATTAGTATTTATTCGGCGTGTTATTGTGTCTTAATTAACGAACATGTAATAAGTTATTGTAACTTAAACGCATAGATTAAAATTTGAATACTAACAACAGTGTTGTGAATGCATTGTGAAACGGAAGAAATGCCTCTCGTTTATACCATAAGAGAGTGATATGAAACTCCTTTCTCGCTTATACCATTCATTAGTTCAATATCTAAATTACAGTATGTAATCTCTTTCAGCTCTATGCACTCGTGTGATGAGGAAAAAATAGTCTTTTGTGAGATGTTGATCTAAAATTGTGTAACCGAAACACGAACAGCAAAGTTGTTGGAAATGCAGAAATGGACCCGAGAAAATTTTCCTCAATTCCCACTTTCAAACAGTAGTAAATAGGTTTGATAACTTAACTGTACGACCGTGATAGTGTTATCCTAGTTCACACTCTACTTCAAGGATAAATCATCACATCTAGTATTAATGCTATTTTTTTGAATTAAACAGGAAACCAGTACTGTATGAGAAGCCTCGATACTTCCCTTAGAATCCTGACAACATTTGGCAGGACAATGCTCGGTTGCATGTAGCGCAATATGCGGCGAATTTGTTTGCTTGATGGCGCAGTGTTCTTCAATCTGTGTTCTTCAAAGTGTTCTTCAATCCATTTTACTCTCTCGACATCAGACTCTATGACTTGATTCCTAAGAAACAGAACCACGTTCATAGCAGTCATATCCGAATTGCTCCAAAGTTTCTTCAGGTAATATACCATTCCATTTTAACCATCAGCAAAACAGCTGTTGCTTCAGTCATACTATGATTTCTTCATTGTTGGCAAAAGATTTCGTATAACACTGGTGAATGCTTTGAAGTAAGTAAAATTTCTTAGAAATATCTCTTTTTGTATCAGCTAAAAGTAATTAGTTGCAACTATTAGCGTCCCAACTCCCGTATTGACTAATTCTGCTTTTTGATCGTATCCTAATAATCGATTGTTATTTAAAGAGAAAATAAATATTTTACTTTTGTACATTTTGTAAATAGATAAAAAATGAAAATGTTACTTAGAGCACTTTTATTTTTGAAATTTATTTAATGATTTATTCATTTGGAAACAAACTGTGATACATACAAACGACTGCCATAAACCAGTCCAGCCAGAGATAAATGTTACCCAAATGCAATTACTTTACTGTATAAAATATTTTCGCGCAAACTTAAGACCAATGTCCTAGGTTTTTAGATGATTTTAAAGTGAAGATCTGATCATATGTTGTAAGGTTTTACTGTATTCTAAGCAGTTATTTTTAGTTTGACTTTCCTGTTTCTCCTGATTTCAATTTCCTAACGGAATGTAAATTTTGTATGACGTAGATGTAAATTTTAAACGTATTTCAGAAGCAGTATTTAAGCTGTGTTTTAAGAGTTCTGTAGGGTAATAGCGGACTTAATTCCGATGTTTATGCTGCGAGTTAAAAGTTAGCTCTCTAGTCGGTGTTCGACACCTTTCAGTTTATAGTGATATTTATCGGCGCGGCTTTGTTGTGTGCAGCTGATTTAGCGTTAGTTAGGCTAAGGAGATAGTCATTAGTTTGTCTTCATTTACTATTGAATTGTTACATTCTTATGTTTGTTACGTAGCCACAATTGGTGGTGATTTGTGAGCACGAAGTGCGTGCAGCTGTTTTAATTTAAGAAACATAGACATGATTTAGAAATTAGACATTAGACATAATTTAAAATACAAATAGAATTATATAAAACTGCATATCATTTCAAAAAAATGTCCAAATGCGTGTGTTAGTGCAAAACGTAAAAAATGCAAGCTGACATAAATCTAATTCCTCTTTAAGTTGACCATTCCATTCCTGTTATTCCATGAACGTTTTTAATGAAACGTGCTTATTTCTGTTTGATCTGTCATTTCTGCACTTCTGGTTAGTTTTTTTTTTCTGTTTCATCGGATTAAGCATGTCTATCGCAAGAATAGAGAATTGTATTTCACTCTTTACTCGACTATAGTTGGTATTAGTTGTATAATTATTAGCTTCTTAGCAGAGATGTCATTTATATATACATGCACACACACACACACACACACACATATATATATATTATATACATATATATACTAGATGGCTCGGCAAATGTTGTTTTGCCATATAAATTATTTCTAGGAAATATTTTGGTAGGAAAAAAATAACTAACTTATTGTAAGTGTGTGAGAATGTGGAATATGAGTGAAAGAGGTATGGAGCACTGTGAACGATGGCGGAATATAAAAATAACAAAACACCAAACATTTACTTTTTAATTTATTGTAATTTATTCTTTAAAATTATATATATCACTAATTCTGACAATATCACTAAGAAACAATATCAATCCCTTAACGCAATAGAGTGTACAATATTTTTTGTTACCCCATTTTTAGCTAACACAAACAAACTGGATGGTTTGCCCACTCGAGAGCATGCCACGTATAATTGTCCGTGTGAAAAACATGGTGTGCTCAAATCTAAGCTACAAACAGACATCGTTTGGCCTTGAGACTTATTGATAGTCATTGCAAATGCCAATCTAATTGGAAATTGAAGACGTTTAAATTGAACTGGCCCATGTGTGGGTATAATAGGGATTCGTGGTAGTAATATATTTTCACCTTGGAACTTCCCCTTTAAAATGCTGGCTTCGACAATGTTTTTCATTAATATTTTAATGACTAATCGCGTGCCGTTGCACAGCCGTGGTGGGTTCAAATTACAAAGCGTAATAACCGGAGATCCAACACTTCAGTTGTTTATGCGGTAGCATGCCTGGCAAATCCAATGAGTTCAAAAACTCTGTTGGATAATTGACAGCTTCGTTGACATCGGAAACTGTATCAATAGATTTGTATGACACCACGTCTCCTGGCAGCAACTGTTGTATCTTGAGATTCAAATCGTTGACGTCCACATTTTTTGCTCCTAAAATTGCTCTTTCTGCCAGCCACTCATGATTAATGTAGTGTGTGTGTACATCGGGAAATATCTGGTCAATGAGAGCATCTTGCAAATTAATGATTGTGGAGAAATCGATCGGTAATTTTATGCCTCCAGTTTCATCTATAGTAACTTTTCGATCGCCGGTATCTAACAGTTGTTTTGAGAATGTTTCAGCGGATGGACTTTGAAGCATTTGTACGCGCATATTTACTTTCAGTTGTACATTTTCAACATTACGCCACAGTGGTGATGATTTTAAGCAAGCGTTGATGTCATCAGCGTACGTTGAACGTGAAATGACGGGAAGTATTTGTCTGAAATCACCAGAAAGTTGTAACAGAGTGTATCCAAATAATTTGTCGTTGTTTTTTATGTCTTTCAATGTCCTGTTCAACGCCTCAAGCGAATGTTTGTGTGCCATAGTGCATTCATCCCGGATGATAATTTTACACTGTTTCAGCACTGTGGCCATGGACGATTGTTTTATTTATGTTGCACACTGCGTCTGGGTTATTTTGAATATTTTGTGGCAGTTTTAAGCACTGAATGAGCTGTTTTGTCTACATCCAATAAAGTTGCCGCAACGCCAGATGATGCAACGGACAATGCGATGCCATTATTTGATCGTATTTCGGCGAGAATTAGCGAAATAAGGAATGTTTTACCAGTTCCACCTGGTGCATACAGAAAAAGAACCCACCTTGCCCTGCCAAAACTGAGATCATAATGAGGTCGTAAATGGTTCTTTGTTCCTCATTCATTAGTGGAACATTTCGAGTAACAATCGCTGTCATTTCTAGAGTATTGTACTGCATTTCACGATTCATTTCAGTGTTCATTAAATCAGATGCACTTCAATTTCTCAAATGCATACCGAAATGGCTGAGTGGTAAGTTGGCAATGATAATGCAAAGATCCTCAGTAGCAATCAATGCTTCATTGTAAAAAGCGTCGCTGAATGTTATTATTAGATCGTTGCACCGTGTACGATGTCGATGCAATAAATCATCAGTCACTGAATCTTTGTGATTACCCCACAGTGTCTCTGCTCGGTCTCGGAAACATGTAGTCAACACTATAGCGAATAGTAGACGAATTTGTATTGCTGTACAGCTCAGTGCTGCTTCAGCAAGCAAACATTCCTACTGGTTGTCGTCTTCCAGCAAGCCGAGTGCAAGGCATGCATCTTTACGTTGGATACTGTTGTCCATTCAGTTTTTGTATACCTTGAAATGACAATGGGCCAGTGACATTAACCAACAACAGTCGAAGATAAAAGCACTCAGTCTGTCTTGGATTGACTGTAAATACTCGCCCCAAGGCGTTTGATTTGAATAAACCAAATATATATGCATCAATCGGTGTGCCTTGCTTGCGGGACATCCATTTTTTTGTTTGAGCCCATATGAAATAGCGTGGTACTTCTGAATAGAGCAATGTTCGTGCAGAGGCACCAAAAGCATCCACACGATTACACAGTTCAAAAAATTCGGTGTGTTTAGTTTTGGGCTGATTTATAGTACGTTCAATCGCTGTCTCGTTCGTGAAAAATACGCTCTGATCGTTTTCAAGATGTACGGCTAAATGAATAACTGCTGGATCCCGTTCATGAATTGGGAAACCAAAGATACGCCAAACAGCTTCACTGGAGCTGATGTACCGGCCAATTTGGTAGAGCATTATTTTATCGTTGTTATTCCCTGGAGGTGCATTTACATTGGTATTTTCAATTCGAAATACAGCCATATCACTTCCTTTATTAACATACTTACAAATGTATTTGATGCTCTTCACTGAAGTGCAGAACTCAATATTAATATGAGCATTGAATGTTTTGCTCAGCAGAGGCGAACATGGCACCAACCAACTATTGTCAATGTCAATGTCTGTGTTGTTGATAATTTTAATAAATGATTGTCCACCACTATCGGGATTTCTTCAACGATGTATTGGATGTCCGTCGACATTTGTGATCGTATCGTTAGTGAAAGTTTTAGGAAAACTTTTGTACATTTTCCATCTGTCATGCAAGCCGAAAGACGATTCAGATTACCGCATGGGCCATGCATCATGTTTGCTGGAACAATATCAAACATCAATTGATCAGTAGACGGATCTGGCATTTCCACAGAAATTATCCTATCAATTTCTTTAGTATGTGCATGAGGTAGTCCTCGCTTTAACCATTCAACCGAATACAGCCAGCAATGCGTGGTATCGAATACAGGTAATTTTGTAATGAAACTTATTAAAGACTTTAATTTTTGTCTGAACACACGTGCTGTAATGTCATGACGATGTATTGCATTTTGGCCAGGCAATAACAACGATGTAATCTCCGGCCATTTCGAATTACATGTGAACGTGATAAATAAACATGGTCGTCCGCGCACGAAAGTCAGAGCATCATGTATATATTCTTGCATATGACGTGGACTGCCTATGTACGATGATATATATATATATATTATAAGCTAGGTTGTTATGTATGTATAAATGACAACTCTGACTAAATGACAACTTAGTACTATGTAATATGTTAGTGCTGTAGTATGTTATATTCATTCTGTAGAACGTTAGTACTACGTAATATGTTAGGTCTGTTGTATGTTATGTTCATTCTGTAAGCAAGTGGGCTCTCACTTCCTGAATTGGATCTAGCGGTGTAAACCTTAGTTAGTGTGCACTAACTGCACTTCCTGAAGTCAAATATAATCCGTTTCAAAAATTTTGTACTGAAAGAAAAATATCGAATATATTGGTAATTTTTCGTTTCTAGAAATGATATAAAAAAGGCGGTGCCTTAATATAAGTTTATTAAAACGGTTGTTTTTCTCAGAAAAAATTTATAATTAAAATCGTCACTTAGTATATGCATGCGATACCATTGCAATGAAACTCTTCGAAAATGTATTCGGATATTCTTTACTCGTCGAAGGCATTTTCGTTCCATTATGAGATAGTAACGAGACATTTGAATTACAATTAATTTTTAATTGATAAAATGCAAAAGAATGCTTTAAAAAGAATGAGAAAAGTATTGGCTGTAACCAGATTAATTTATCCTTCTTACTAGTTACTATTTACAAAAATTATATTAGTGGAATCACTGACGTTTTTAAATCGTGTGACGTATTTTAATCATTACAATATTGTTCTGGCGATAATTATATGAGTGTACCAGAACAAGTTAATTTAGTTAATTGGTGGTACGACCTTTACATTGGATAAAAAGAGGCACCTAGGAACAGTGGGTACGATATTCTACAGTGTGGTAAGTTACAGCTATAACCTAGTCGTGAATTCATTTACGAATTCAAATCTTTCTTGCTTTGTGTTAAGATTATCAAAACAACCCTATAAAGCTGTGGGAAGTCATAAAATATGAATAAAAACGAACAAACATACATAAAACAAAGATTCAAATTATTAGATAACTTTAGAAATTATTATTTTAGTAAGTAGATTATGAGCAAGACAGTTAACAAGTTAAGGTAATCTACACACTCTCCCGGGAGGTTGGAATACAGAATTAATTAGTAACCGTAGTATTAATCAAGGATTTTAGACAACATATCTTTCACATTATAACTAATTGGAAATTCATGATACAGTTCAATTACAAAAAATATTTTAATGTATTTAAAGCTATTAATTTATTTTGATTTTAATTTTGAATAAAAAGTTGATTAATTAAACCACCTGATTTCACTATACAATAGTATTATTGATGTAAACATAGCCATGAAAATTTAATAATTAAATTCCCTTTACTTTTCATTCTTTGAAGAATGGTTGAATTTCATTTAATGTAATATAATGGTGATATACTGGTAATTTAGATTCTGATTGCTTTATTTAAACATTAGATTGAAATAAATGGCAACAACGCTTTTATGTTAATATGTGTGATCCGATGCTAGTAAAGCTGTAACTATTTATACACAAATAAAAAGAAAGAAAGTTTTTATGTGAAAACGAAATTCGTAACTTTTATTTTAATGATCAATTGAAATACCTTCAGTTCATATAATAGCATGTAGCTTTCCTTGCATCCTTCTTTATTAAGCTAAACTAAAACTGCGATTTCAAGACTGTGTCACTAATTACAATAAATTCTTTATATTGCATTTCTCCTTATTTTATTATGGTTTCTAACATAATTTCGGTCAATTCGTGAATATAATATAATTAATTTTATCCATATGCAGAATTTTAAATTTATGCTTGATCCAGTAGCAGTTTGCAAAAGGTTATATGACATCAAAACAAACTTCTTTAGAGAAATAAAAAAAAAACTAAGTCATATTTTTGTTCTTTGAATTTGAAGTCAAATAATTTTGAAAAAAATGTATAACACATGTAGTATCACAATTCGTTCAATTTATGATTGTTACCTAATAGAGTTAGGAATTTATTTTAAAATGTACAGCTATCACAATTTTTATTAATATTTTATATGTAACATAGATATTTTTTCACTACACTATGTTTACCTAAAAGTTTCCAGACAAAAATGTAAAGCGCAGTTCACTGGAACAGACTATTGACGCCAACTGTGCAGTTTCTTAGGCGTCGGCATGTACCAAGCATTTTCAATCTAATCATTTGCTTAGCAGTTCGTGAACTTTACTGAGCATTTTCTTAAGTGTAGTTGGAAAGTTATTGAACGGATAATTGCATCCAGCAAACTGCTTTCAATTACCTCTTCCCCTGCAATGTTAGAAAATTACTACACTCCGGGTGGCGGAATTTTGCCCATGTAGTTCTTCTAAATTGATGGCATTAGACATTTATCTTCCATTTACTCTTTAGCAGAAATCGCAATCTGAGGAAATATCTATGCAATTTCTGAAGCTCAGCAGCAGTGAAATTCATAAAGACTGAATGCACAAGACAATTTTTAGACTATACTTACTCGCCAGTTTGTTGTTTAGTACTCCTTACCTTCCCCTCTCATTAAGATGCTGAAATAAAGAGGTTAAATATATAGAGTTATAAAAATTTTAGAATAAAATTCTAGTTTAAGGAAAGCTCATAAACCCAGATGAAAGAATGATGCATCTTGCATAATAACTAACAGCATTAAATTAAGAAGTAAATAATATTAAATTATAAAGCCATTTTTTATTATAGCCTTAACGGAAGTGAAAGAAAATAAACGTGAAATATATCAGACCTAACCTACCTATCTTGACCAATGTAAAAACATAAATGAATTCTGTGTTCTTAGCATTAATGAAATAAAGAATACAGTTTTATGCTGTCATCTACTAGACAAAAGAAGAGCTAAATACCCATATGGATATATTACAATAAAATCAGTCTAGTAAACCGTCTGCTTTGTAATTTTTTAAATTCCTGCTATTAGCTCACACTCTTCTTATATCTTTGTTACGTAGAAAAAAATGTTAAAATTACTTTTACATTAAACTTTTAAACCGACTTCTTACTCAGTGCCGCAACATAAAAAAACTAAAACTAACTAAGTACTCTCACATAAAAGAAGCTTATTCTTAACTCTTTAATGCTTAGTGAAAACCAAACTACTTTAAGTTAAACAAAATTCACTTAAAACAACAAACTCAGTAAAATAAAGCTCATCATATCAACTCTCAACTTTTTAAATCAAGGAATGAAAAAATATATCCTCCTTGGTGTTTTGTTAGAATTAAAGATTACTTATCAAAACAAAATGTGAAAATGCATGTCCGTACAAATTCATTAACACGCTATCTCTCTCTGAAATAAAACTACATCCACTGACTTTCCTAAAACACATAAATTCCAACACAAATCTAGAGATAGCCCTAAAACACATTACATTTAAAATACAACAAAAAACTCTTAAAACACCAGGGAAAGATAAATCTCACACCAAAGAAATCTAATCACCAATTCAAATAAATTAAGTAAGCCGATCGTACAGTCACAAAACACTTAAAATTAAATTTTCTACGACCGCAATAAGATTTACCCAGGATCGAATTGAAATAACCATGTTTTCCGTTAGGATCTCATACGTTACCTACAGTAGACTACAAATTAAACTCAAAATAAAACATACAATAATTAAATCAATAAACACATTTATTAAATATTCCAAACATTATAGTTTAAAGCAATTGTCCAGACTACCCCTACAAAAATATTATCCAAACTTTACTCATAATTTCTCATTAGATGGCTTATCTCTCATTAAGTGTATGAGTACTACAAATCATTAATTAATAATTCACATTTAGAATATGGAACAATTTATCCTCTGGCATTTTATAATCAATTAAATTACTTGATATGATACTGAAATTACAATTACTTCAGTGAAAATTTCTTTTCAGAAATATATATTTTCCCTCTAATTAAATTAAATTATAACTCATGACAATTAAACATTAAAAAAACATAAAAATCACATTCTCCACTATTAATTGATTAACAGCACATATTCAGATTTTCATATACAGGGTGATTATAATTTAAGTTTAAGTTTAAAAACGCTATAAAAAAAGAACCGCTCATGAAAATGACGTCAAATTTGAAAGGAATATTATTGAAGAAGGCGGAAAGCGTATGGCAGAAGAAAAAATTTAGTTTCAAAAGTTAGCAACAGATGGCGCTGCAAGCGGAAGAAGACGTATATTAAAATGTTAGTTAAATTTCAGTGTTATAAAGCTGCCAGGTACCAGGCTGTTCCTCATTTCGCGTCTCAGACGTTCACCATGGGTGTTTCACTGCAGGACCGC